CTTCTCCAAATGCAACAGCTGTTAGTAGTTGGTATTAAGCAGCACCTTGTTTAGTCAGTAAATAACCTAAAGTGATTCTATTGTCCAGCATGATTGCAGCAAATGAGTTAGAGGTTTTTTTGTTCAGCAAGTATAGCAGACAATCTTGTCTATACAATTTCATTTGCCAGTTCCACTGGAAAGGGCACTTTCTAACACAGCATTCTAAACTAGGCACCTCCAATGCAAGGTTGAGACATACATGAAGGGATGGAAACCACTGTGTCTGACTGCTAATTGAAGATTTGTATTTCAACAGGCATAGGGTTGACAGAACATTAGGTCATCTGAGAGACTAGCAACATTATTAAATTCCCAAAATGGCATATAAACCACTTCCAGAGACCTCATTCCTTCATCTCGTCAAGACCTACATTAATAGTAACATTACTGACCGGGCACAGTGGCTCCCACCTGTAATCCCAGCACTTTGGGAGGCCGAGGCAGGTGGATCACGAGGTCAAGAGATCGAGACCATCCTGGCCAACATGGTGAAACCCCGTCTCTACTAAAAATACAAAAATTAGCTGGGCGTGGTGTGTGTGCCTGTAATCCCAGCTACTCTGGAGGCTGAGACAGGAGAATCGCTTGAACCCGGGAAGTGGAGATTGCCGTGAGCCGAGATCGTGCCACTGCACTCCTGCCTGGGCCACAGAGCGAAACTCTGTCTCAAAAAAAAAAACCAAAAACACGCTGCCTTTGTACACCACCGCGCCTCCGCGTGGCGCCTGGGGTCAGGCTGCAGCAGCGCCAGAGCACGTGGTTGCGTATAACTGGGGCCACCTGGTCCCCCGCGGCTGGTCCTTTTAACAAGGAGATGGGGAAAAAAAAATTTGATAGTTTAATGTGCCCGCTTTTTTTTTTTTTTTTTTTTTTTTTTAATACTGATCCTGGTTTGTCACCCAGGGCTGGGAGTCAAAGTGGCGCAATCTCAACTCACTGGACAACCTCTGCCTCCTGAGTAGCTGGAACTACAGGCGTGCACACCAAATGCGCAGGGCTAATTTTTTTGTATTTTAGTAGGATAGGGTCTTGCCATGTTGGCCAGGCTGGGTTCCAACTCCTGACTCAGGTGATCGCCCACCTCGGCTCCCAAAGTGCTGAGGTTACAGGCCTGAGCCATCACGCCTGACCTTATAGTTAATGTGTCACTTTATAA